CCAGGAGAGCTTCCCCAACCTAGCAAGGCAGGCTGACATTTAAATTCAGGAAATACAGAGAACACCAAAAAGATGTTCCTTGAGAAGAGCAACCCAAGACACATAATCATCTGATTCACCAGGGTTGAAATGAAGGAAAAAATGCTAAGGGCAGCAGAGAGAAAGGTTGGGTTACCCACAAAGGGAGGCCTATCAGACTCACAGTGGATCTCTCAGCAGAAATCCTACAAGCCAGAAGAGAGTGGGGACCAATATTCAACATTATTTAAAGAAAGAATTTTCAACCCAGAATTTAATATCCAACCTAACTAATCTTCATAAGTGAAGGAGAAGTAAAATCATTTATGGAGAAGCAAATCCTGAGAGATTTTGTCACCACCAGGCCTGCCTTAAAAGAGCACCTGAAGGAAGCACTAAACATGAAAAGGAATGACTTGTACCAGCCACTGCAAAAACATACCAAATTGTAAAGACCATCGACACTATGAAGAAACAGCATCAACTAATGAGCAAAACAACCAGCTAGCATCAAAATGGAAGGATCAAATTCACACATAACAATATTAACTAACCTTAAATGTAATGGGCTAAATGCCCCAATTGAAAGACACAACCTGCAAATTGGATAAAGAGTCAAGACCCACTAGTGTGCTGTATTCAGGAAACCCATCTCATGTGCAAAAACACACATAGGCTCAAAATAAAGGGAAGGAGAAAAATTTAACAAGCAAATGGAGAGAAAAAACAAAACAAAACAAAAAAAAAATAGGAGTTACAATCCTAGTCTCTGGTAAAACAGAATTTAAACTAACAAGGATCAAAAGAGACAAAGAAGGGCATTACATAATAGTAAAGATATCAATGCAACAAGAGGAGCCAACTATCCTAAATATATATGCACCCAATACAGGAACACCCAGATACATAAAGCAAGTTCTTAATGACCTACAAAGCAACTTAGACTCTGACACAATAATAGTGGGGGGCTTTAACACACCAGTGTCAATATTAGACAGATCAATGAGACAGAAAATTAACAAGTATATGCAGGACTTAAACTCAGATCTGGACCAAACAAACCTAACAGACATCTACAGAACTCTCCACCCCAAATCTACCGAATATATATTCTTCTCGGCATCACATCAAACTTATTCTAAAATTGACCACAGAATTAGAAGTAAAACACTCCTCAGCAAGTGCAAAAGAATGGAAATCATAACAAACAGTCTCTCAGACCACAGGGTATTCAAAGTAGAGCTCAGGATTAAGGAACTCACTCAAAACTGCACAGCCACATGGAAACTGAACAACCTGCTCCTGAATGACTACTGGATAAATATGAAATGAATGCAGAAATAAAGATTTTTTTTGAAAGCAGTGAGAACAAAGACACAACGTACCAGAATCTCTGGGACACATTTAAAGCAGTGTGTAGAAGGAAATTTATAGCACTAAATGCCCACAAGAGAAGGAAAGAAAGTTCTAAAATCAACACCCGAACCTCATAATTAAAAGAACTAGAGGGGCAAGATCAAACAAATTCAAAAGCTAGCAGAAAACAAGAAACAACTTAAGAGCAGAGCAGAACTGAAGGAGATAGAGACACAAAAAACTCCTCAAAAAATCAGTAAATTGAGGAGATGGTTTTTTGAACAGATCAACAAAATAGATAGACCACTAGCCAGACTAATAAAGAAGAAATGAGAGAAGAATCAAATAGATGCAATAAAAAAATGATAAAGGAGATATCACCATTGATCCCACAGAAATATAAACTACCATCAGAGATTATTACAAACAACTCTATGCAAATAAACCACTAAATCTAGAAGAAATGAATAAATTCCTGGACTTTAAACACCCTCCCAAGACTAAACCAGGAAGAATCTGACTTTCTTAATAGACTAATAACAAGGTCTGAAATTGAGGCAGCAATTAATAGCCTACCAACCAAAAAAAGTCCAGGACTAGATGAGTTGACAGCTGAATTCTACCAGAGGTACAAAGAGGAGATGGTACCATTTCTTCTGAACCGATTCCAAACAATACAAAGAGAGGGAATCCTCCCTAACTCATTTTATGAGACCAACATCATCCTGATACCCAAACCTGGCAGAGACACACTAAAAAAGAAAATTTCAGGCCCATATCCATGATGAACACTGATGTGAAATTCCTCAATAAAATACTGGCAAACCAAATCCAACAGCGCATCAAAAAGCTTATCCATCATGATCAAGTCAGCTTCATTTCTGTGATGCAAGGCTGGTTCAACATACACAAATCAATAAATATAATCCATAACTTAAATAGAACCAAAGACAAAAACCACATGATTATCTCAATAGGTGCAGAGAAGGCCTTTGACAAAATTCAGCAGCGCTTTATGTTAAAATTTCTCAATAAACTAGGTATCAATGGAATGTATCTCAAAATAATAAGAGCTATTTATGAAAAACCCACAGCCAATATCATATTGAATGGGCAAAAACTAGAAGTATTCCCTTTGAAAGATAAGGATGCCCTCTCTTCCCACTACTATTCAACATAGTATTGAAAGTTCTGGCCAGGGCAATCAGGCAAGAAAAAGAAATAAAGGTATTCAATTAGGAAAAGAGAAAGTCAAATTATCTTTATTTGCAGATGACATGATTGTGTATTTAGAAGACCCAATCATCTCAGCCCAAAATCTCCTTAAGCTGATAAGCAACTTCAGCAAAGTCTCAGGATACAAAATCAATGCATAAAAATCACAAGCATTTCTATACACCAATAAGAGACAAACAGTCAAATCATGAGTGAACTCCCATTCACAATTGCTACAAAGAGAATAAAATAACTAGGACTACAACTTACAAGGGATGTGAAGGACCTCTTCAAGGAGAACTACAAATCACTGCTCAAGGAAATAAGAGAGAACACAATAGACAGAAGAAAATTCCATGCTCATGGATACGAAGAATCAATATTGTGAAAAAGGCCATACTGCCCAAAATATTTTATAGATTCAGTGCTATCCCCATCAAGCTACCACTGACTTTCTTCATAGAATTGGAAAAAAACCACCTTAAATTTCATATGGAATCAAAAAAGAGCCCGAGTAGCCAAGACAATCCTAAGCAAAACAAACAAACAAAAAACAAAAAAAACCCCACAAAGCTGGAGACATCATACTGCCTGACTTCAAACTATACTATAAGGCTACAGTAGTCAAAACAGCATTGTACTGGTACCAAAACAGAGATATAGACCAATGAAACAGAACAGAGGCCTCAGAATTAATGCCACACATCTACAACCATCTGATCTTTTAAAAACCTGACAAAAACAAGCAACGGGGAAAGGATTACCTATTTAATAAATGGGAAAAACTGGCTAGCCATATGCAGAAAGCTGAAACTGAATCCCTGCCTTACACCTTATACAAAAATTAACTCAAGATGGATGAAAGATTTAAACATAAGACCTGACACCATAAAAACCCTAGAAGAAATCCTAGAAGAAAACCTAGGCAATACCATTCAGGCCATAGCCATGGGCAAGGACTTCATAACTAAAACACCAAAAGCAATGACAATAAAAGCCAAAATAGACAAGCAGGATCTAATTAAACCAAAGAGCTTCTGCACAGCAAAAGAAAGTATTATTAGAGTGAACAGGCAACCTACAGAATGGGAAAAAATTTTTGCAATTTACCCATCTGACAAAGGGCTAATATCCACAATCTACAAATAACTTAAACAAATTTACAAGAAAAAAACAAATAATGCCATCAAAAAGTGGGCAAAGAATATGAACAGACACTTCTTAAAAGAAAATATTTATGCAGCCAACAGACATACGAAAAAATGCTCATCATCACTGGTCATTAGAGAAATGCAAATCAAAACCACATTGAGATACCATCTCACGCCAGTTAGAATGGCAGTCGCCAAAAATTCAGGAGACAACAGATGCTGGAGAGGATGTGGAGAAATAGGAATGCTTTTATACTGTTGGTTGGAGTGTAAATTAGTTCAGCCATTGTGGAAGACAACGTGGCAATTCCTCAAGGATCAACAACTAGAAATACCATTTGACCCAGCAATACCATTACTGGGTATATGCTATGCCCAAGGGATTATAAATCATTCTATCATAAAGACACATGCACACGTATGTTTACTGCAACACTGTTCACAATAGCAAAGACTTGGAACCAACCCAAATGCCCATCAATGATAGACTGGATAAAGAAAATGTGACACATAGACTCCATGAATATTATGCAGCCATGAAAACGATGTGTTCGTGTCCATTGTAGGGACTTGGATGAATCTGGAAACCATCATTCTCAGCAAGCCAACACAAGAACAGAAAACCAAAATACTGCATGTTCTCACTCATAAGTGGGTGTTGAACAATGAGAACACATGGACACAGGGAGAGGAACATCACACACTGGGGCCTGTCGGGGGTGGGGGGCTAGGGGAGGGATAGCATTAGGAGAAATACCTAATGTAGATGACAGGGTGATGGATGCAGCAAACCACCATAGCACGTGTACACCCATGTAACAAACCTGCATGTTCTGCACATGTACCCCAGAACTTAAAGTATAATAAATAAAATAAAAATAAATAAAAAAATCACTTTGGAAGCTAATTAAAAATGCTAAATCCTGCAGGCTGCTTCCCAGTGATCCTGCTTTATCACACCTGGTACATGGCCTAGGGATCTGCATTTTCATCCCTGGGAGATGCTGATGTATAAGTCCTCCAACCTCACCTGGAGAAACAGTAGCTTAGAGAATATTCATATTCATTCAATAAATGTAGAGCTTGCTGCATGTGGGACCCTGAGGTGGCACTGGGCAATACACACAAGGATGAATAAGACCCTACCTGATTCCCACCCAGCTGAGAGCTGGAGCTTCCAAGGAGAATGCAGGGTCTGTGCTGCACAGTAGAACATCAATAAGAACCGTAGCCCAGAAGAGCAATGGAGAAAAGCCATACCTGGGCTTCTGCACCTTCGATGTTGTGGGAGAGATTTCCATTTTGTACAGGTTCTGAAGCATCACTGGATGGTGTCATTTCAACTTCTGTGCTGGTGCTGTTCGGAAGCTCGATTTTTTCTGTGATATAATTTAAACACACACACACACACACACACACACACACACACACGTACACAGAGAAAGGGAGAGAGAGAGATAGCAAATGGAATCAATGGGGGCAAAGTGCAATATTGAAAAGAGCTTCCTAAAATGTTGGGCCAAAGCAGAGGATAGTGGTGTCCCAGGGGTGATAAGGCCCAGGGCTGGTATTGAGCCAAGTGGGAAAGGAATTTCACCGTTCTTCCCCACATCTTTCAGGATACCACCCTGAATCCTTAATAGCGCCTTGGCTTGCTGCTCTGGCATGGCACCTTACCCTGAGTGCCCTATCAGCTCCTATGCTATGACCTTCTCGAGTCTAGGCAATTTTACCAGCTAGCTATTCAGGGACATGAACGTAGACATTTTAAAACCAAAACCACACCCAATCTACATACTATTGTTTACACCCGGGACTGAACTCTTCAGATATTTTCTTACAATAATACCTTTTCTTTCATACTGTACTCTGGAAATAATATTGGCTAGGGCTTCAGGGTCCTAGACTTTACTCTGCTACGATCAGGCTGTCACCTTAGGCTAGTCCCCTTCTTCCTCTGGGACTTGGGAACCTTATCTGTGAAATGAGGGGGTTTGACAGGTTGACCTCCAAGGGACATTATGTTCGGCTGTAATTCAGGCAGGCTCTGTGAGTGGAAACTCTTTCAGTGCCTAGGTGGCCACGGGCAGGGCAGGCTGGTGAATGCTACTTAGCACACTCCACACGGGCGCATCCTATTGCAGGCAAGGCAAGGGGGAGCCGGACAAGTAATAGAGGCCAAAGCCTGTGTCATTCCTCAATCAGAGAGAACATTTGGCTAGAGTGAAGTCAGAGGTCAGCAAGTGCAGATCTGACACTTGAGAAGTGACTCTAGGGTAATGGTTAAGCACTGGGACTCTGTCACACTGGGAACCAGACAGGCCTGGCTTCATATTCTGGATCGACAGCTTGTGCTGTGTGACCCTTAGCAAGTGATTCAACCTCTCTGAGATTCGGTTTCTTCATCTGTAAAATTGGGGTGATGGTAACAATACTGCTACTACTATTCCTGTTGCTACTACTACCACTAATAACAACAATAAGACAAATATGACCAAAAGAGTACTTCTGTAAAGATTAAATAAGAAAATGCATAGAAAGCATTTAGCACAGTACTTTGTGCAGAGCAATTAAGAAGCATAAACGATCTGGATCCTGATTATAGTGCCTGCCCTTCACTAGAAGAATTCTTTTTATCATAACAAACAGGAGTACCTCCAGGTGATCAGTGTTTTGGCACCACTCGGGTCTGCTGAGGCTTCACTGGGAGGGAAATTTAAAGGTTCCTATTGAAAGCACACACTCTGGCTGTTTTAGGTCAAATCATGGATTTTGGGAGGAAATGAGGGTGTAGTATGCTGTCAGGGTTGCTGGGGGTATCAGAATGCTCATCAGTATCATATCTGAGCAGTATTAGCTGCTCATCAAACATGAGAATAAGCTTTTTTTTCCCCAGCAGCTTCAGGAGGACTAGACATTTCTATCACTAGTGCTTAGGAAAATAATTTGAGAGTTACATAAAAATTGTTGAGTTTGAAGCAGCCAAATTTTGGAAATCACAGGGAAATATTTACATTTATTTATGTATTTAGTTGTGAAATATAGACACACGAATAGATTTAAATATGAAAAACCATAGAAACTCAAATTTACTTTATCTTTCCAAGTTTTTAGTAGTGACAGCGATATGTATGTGATGCGGTGCGTGTGGCTATGGCAGTTTTTCTTAGTACGCTTGATTCAGTTATTTAAATAAAAAAATACTAAGAACCTTGGGTAAACATTAAAACTGTGTTTGGAGAAATCTACTGGCTGATGTGATACAACCTTAGGATCAGCCTGCAATGGTAATTTGACCCTACTAACACAGAATACTGCGTAAAAGAGGAGTGAAGATGTCCAAGAACGGAGATGAACAGTTGAGCAGAGACTACCTGCCAGGCATAATACTGAACCTGTGTGTGCACATCTTAGCTTATAAAGTGCTTTTACACAGCAGGCTGGGGGCTCATAATCAAAGAAAGTATGAACATAAATCTTGGACTTACTTTGAAAAGCATTAGACACACAATATTTTCTACTTACAAAGTCATTCAGAGACCCAGTAACATTAGAAAGATCCTTGGAATTAAGTGTCCTACCTCCTTAAAAAAAGATTAAATCCAAGTCTAAGCTTGGTCAGTCATCAGGAGGAGGACTAGGACTGAGCCTAGGAATCTTTCATTCTAAGCTACCTCATTCTACAAAAGACGAGTCAACAAGGGAAGTAGAAAAAATAACTTGTGTAGTTGAATCTAAACATCACAAACGAAACTCAACCTATGCGGTAGACTTTCATGGCATGGCTTTACATTTTTATAGTACAAAAGTAAAATATACTTATTCTAAAAAACTTTATAGAAGCATAAAGCAGCAGAAAAAATATATATAACTCATAATCCCAGCTTTAGGAAGTAACTATTGTTAACATTTTAGCTGACTCCTTTCCAGTTTTTCTTTTCATATCTAACTGCGTCTTAACTGTTTCTCGGCCAAAAATTTTCCCTGAGGTAGAAGTTAGGATGACAGGAGAGGCAGAAACTCTTCTATGGAGTGTCAGTATTTTGAGTGCAATGCTGTTGAATTTTGTCTGCAGATAATTTTAGTTACTTGGGCAATAGCTTCGTTTATAGCATAGATCCAGATCAGGTTAAATTTAGTTTGAATTTAGAATTAGAGAGCTATATTATAGTTACAGACAGGAGAGAAGGAACATCATGTTCCAAGTTAAAATAAGATGTCTGAATGTCACAATCTGGTCACACAGGAGCTCTGCAAAAGTCAGTGAAAAGAGACCTGGGGACCGTTATTGCTGAATTCTTAAGAAACAGGAGGCAGTATCATCTCAAAAGGACTCTGTCACTCAGTTCAGGAGTGACCAACTGTGTGCCAATAAGCAATGTCACAGGTAAAAAAATCTGGTTAGCAGGCAAGAATTACAAACGGGGGACTCTCACCTTTGGTTAAACATTAGATGACACTGTGTGTGTGCACGTGCGTGTGCGTGTGTGTGTATACTCTTTATGTGGAATCCCTGAAATACAGTGATTTTCTATTCTTGAATGGAGCTGACTAGTTAAGAGTTGGTTTTACTTCAGGTTCCTCAGAGAATAATTTCACTCTTCTTGGATTTCTAGAGTTACTGGTGACATGCAATGCCCATGCATACCCTGTTCCCACAGGAGAAGAGGGACTCATTTCCTGTTGTCCGGGAAAGGGCTGTGCTGCAAAGGTCTGTGTCTGCACCAAGTCAGGGGTTCCCACACTGGTTCTGACTCTCTGCTCCCCTCGCTTCCCCCAGGAAATGTATGGGATTGATGTTTCCCTGCACTTACCTACGTGGTTGGCAGCCCCATTCTGCCGCTCATTCTCATCCACATGACATTTCTTCTTGGCAATCTTGTGGAGAATTGAAGCCTTTTCTCTGAACCTCCCTGAAGCAGGAAGGAGACACAATGAGAAAGAAGATAAAGAGTCTCAGGGCCAAGCAGTTATGTGGCTGCCTCAGTCACGCTGTACTAACAGCACGATCACTCCATTCTGTCCAACTCTAATGCACCAGGACCTTCCTGAAGGGTACTTTCTTGCCTTTGTACATTTTTCAGCCCATTTTCTATGAGAATCTCTTCCCTCCCCTCCAAGTTGCTCATAAAATTAACAAAAGCACCAAGCATCACTAAAACTCCCCTACTGCTGAGCTCCAAAACAGGTCTAGAGAGCGCTGCTCTGGAGGCATGGCCATTTCTCTGGACTTAAACCCTCATCCCAGACCAGATTTTGACAATGGGCTGGGAAGGAAAGCCAAGCCCAGGGGTCCTCTGATTTGACTTCAGTTTTCAAACATTTACATGTTTAGTATCCCTAATTCAAAAAGCCAAAATCTGAAATCCAAAACACTTCTGGTCCCCAGCATTTCAGATAAGGGATACTCAACCTCTCTTATAATTAACATTGCTGTTTCTAAATGGGTCAGGAGCATGCATCAGGGCCTTCCAGATTAGCTGAGTCAGCTGCAATTAAGGCATCAAGGAAGCAACTGATTCCATTTGTGGATTTAGGGCAAGGAAGGATCAACTGAGTGCAGCAAGTACTGTTGGTGATGAGACCCTTTGGGAACGGTGCCAGACATGCATCTTTATAGCAGCACAATTCACAAGTGAGAAATGGTGGAACTAACCGAAATCCCCATCAATCAATGAGTGGATAAGGAAACCATGGTATATATATATACATATATATATATGATGGAATACTATGTAGCCATAAAAAGGAATGAATTAACAGAATTTGCAGTGACCAGGATGAGATTGGAGACTATTATTCTAAGTGATGTAACTCAGGAATGGAAAATCAAACATTGTATGTTCTCACCGATATGTGGGAGCTAAGCTATGAGGATGTAAAGGTATAAGAATGATACAATAGCCTTTGGGACTTGGGGGGAAGAGTGGGAGGGGGATGAGGGATAAAAGACTACAAATATTGTACAGTGTACGTATGGGTGATGGGTGCACCAAAATCTCATAAGTCACCAGTAAGGAACTTACTCATGTAACCAAATACCACCTGTACCCCAATAACTTATGGAAAAATAAAAAAGAAAGGTACTAGAAAAAAATGCCATTCTCAAAATAATCATTTTAAACAGCTGTGCTACAAGTGCATTGTTTAATTTCTTCTTCATTATTGACATAATTAATGGGCAAATGCATGCAATAAGCAACAAAAAAAGCAGGCAAAAGTGCAGAGATTAGGGAAACAGCATTTTTCTTTTTTAATCCTTGAATTTCTTCTTTGGGAACATTTAAGATATAAAAAAAAATTCTCATTTTAAACTGATTATTGCCTAGATTCAGATATGAGTGTCTCAAAACACCACAACCCCTACAGTTTTCCCACTAGGTATTTTTCTGTTGACTGTGTTCCCTAGCAGAATATTAACAGGGGCTCTCACTCTACTTTTCTGTTTACAACCAAATCAAATAAAAATGTTTCTTCCGGAGAGCTTCTTTTCCTAGGATAAAGCATGGCAGATAGTCACCCACTGCCTGCCTCCATGGTTTGGAATCATGGCATGTGGTCATAGTGATGACTTGTGTGACTGGCTGGGACTGACAGCGCCTGTAAACTAGAGTCAGATCAATGGACTCCAGCGGTGAAAATGACACAAGCTGTGACCTTTTCTGCTCATGGCTCCATTAGTCACAAGCCTGGACACTGTCACAACAAAGGCAATCTCTAGGACATATGTACCTTAGTCTAGGCAATGAATGTGCACCACTGAGTACACTCTCAGAAGAGGTAGGAAGGAAAACATTTCATGGAGAAAAAGAGGTCGGTGTGTGGCTTGGGCTGCCTAAGGAATGAGAAAGAAGGATAAGGTGATGGGCATGACTCCATCCGTGAGGAATGTTGAAGGTCAGCATTAGCTTCACTATCCTGGAAGGTAGCTTGAATTTGGTTGTTTCTATTTAATCTCCAAGGGAAACTCTGGGAAGAATAAGGGAAAGGAAAGGAAGCCTGGAGATTAGGAAAAGGAGGTGGTAAAGAAGAACAAGAAAGAATAGAAAAAAGAGAGAAAGAGGAATGCAAGGAAGAAGGAGGCAGGCAGGGGGCTATGATTGCCTGGAGGTTGTCCAGGCTGTGTGAACGCAAGACACTTTCCTGGCCACCAAACCAAGTCTTACTAGGAGACTAGATAAACAGACAACGTGAGTGAGCTTCAGTACTTTGCAGCTCTCAGCCTAAAGAGGGGTTACTTCTTGCAGAAGATAACTCCAAAGAGTCCCAAATCATGTGCTTTTCCACCCAGAAGAGGAAAAAAGGAGGCTCTGAAACTTTATTGGAGATGAGGCTTCTACTAGTAAAACCATTCCATCATGGTCTGAGGGGCATTTTTGGAGCTTTGAATATCCTGCCACTCTAAGAAAGACAGATGATCAATATTTGCTATTTTAAAATTATACATAAAATAATAATAAAGCAGGAAAGCATTCAGAAGCAGAAACAAATAGGTCAGTGGAAATTAAACCTGAAATAACCCAACTTAAATAATGTCCCAAAGTCATGAATCATGCCAGAAAAAATATTGGATAGAAACCAGTTAATCACATATTGCTTGTGGTTATAAGGCTCTTTTCAGAGTTAAGGTGTGTGCCAGAGAGAAATGATAATAAAAGGGACCCAAAAGCATGGAAGGGGAGCCATGCCCTTTGCCAGGAAGCATCTTTCAGAACAGTGTTGGCCACTGGCACTCATGGGCTGGTCTTCCCCAAATCTCCAGGAATAATCTAGGAGAACAGGGTAGGAGATAACCCTAGAATTGGAATTTTATAGGTTCTCAGATATTTTGCAGGCCAGTGAGACTGCATGTTACTCTTTTCCCACTGCAGCAGCACCTCAGGTTTTCTGCACGATTGAACAGTAGGAGGGATTAGCCTTATTTGTATCCTCTTGGGACCTAGCCTTAGGGGCAGCAAGGCAAAGCAGCAAGACTGGTGGGGAACTGTCTTCTCCACAGACCTCTCCAACTTCTTCAATTCATCCTCTCCCCTAGATGATTCTTTGTCCCAACTAATATGACCTGGGGAAGAATTTCCTGTCTTCCACTTCTATAATAATTGCAACCCTTTCTGAGTAGCAATTCCTAGGCCCTTGCTGTTTATCAGAGGCCATTGAAACATGCAATGGGCATTAAAAACGGAAGAAAAAGGGAAAGGAAAGGAAAAGACAGTCCATTGGACCGTCCAAGAACTGTATGAGGTGGATGCTCTTCTTATCTCCATCTTTTCTCTCTTTTTGCCCCATCATCACGTCATTCCATGACGTAAGTGCTGACAACGGCTGCTCCATAGCCTAGAAGGATTTTCCCTTAAAGACTAGTTTCTAGAAAGGGAGCAGTTGAGGGCCCACCTTCAGAATGTGGCACACATGTGTAATCCTTCAGGGGGGTGGGGCAGAGTGAGACAAAGCCAGATTCGCTGATTCCAGCCCATTGGATACCCCTGGGATCGTCACAGGGCACCTTTTGAGAAATGCTGTGAGGATGAAGCTAACAGATACATGTGAGCATGAAGGACCGGAGGCAGAAGCCAGCAGAGAACCTGTGAGTTTTGAAGTGATCCTCTCTGCCTTGGGGTAGGAAGACATGGCACCTTCAGGACCTGCTCATCCCCAAGTCACAAGCTACGAAGAACAGCAACAGGGTGTGTGTGTTGGGACAGCACAGTTTGATGGTTAACAGGAGGCTAAGTGGATGTGATTGAGAGGCAGGTAGATCTGAGTTCAACCCCTAGCTCTCTCAGTGTCTCTGTTGAGTGATGGGTGAGTTTCTAAATACTTCTGGGCTTTAGTTTTCTCATCTGTTAAGCAGGGATTCCAGTGGTATTGGTAGAGTTACTGGTGACATACTACATCCATGCATGCCCTGTACTCATTTTCTGTCATCCAGGGAAGAGCTTAGCTGCAGGGGTTTTCTGTGAGAAAATGTGGGTAAAGGGCTTATCACAATGTGTGGCACTGAAAGAACTCTAAATAAGAGGAAAAATGAGAATCAAACAGAATCTCAAGGATAAGGGTGACGTGGCCCAGTTGCTCTAGGAGAATTGTTGCCATCTTCTCTTCTCTAAATCCACACAGGCTGAGCTAAATAATCAGCCACATTCAGACCCGGGAGTTGAAGCATACAGGGCCTTATTGGACTCGTATTCAGGTTTCAGTGAATCCCCCAAAACTGATTAGAAAAAGAATCATTTTAGATCTTTCTGCAATTAAGAAGGTCAAGGTGATGGAGCTGGCTTTTTGGGCTTTAAACATGGATATCTCTGCAATCTTAAAATGGGAAGATGATGATCAGTTTTCCCCCATCACCTGCAGGACCAAAATTCAGACCAAGGAACTACTGCTGCTACAAAATGCATTTGCTTAAAAGAACCTCATGATGCACTAGGTTCTTAACCCCTCTCCACTTCAGGTTCACAATGAGTAAGATGGAGACAAGAAGAGCATCCAGCTCATACAGTTCTTGGAAGGTCCAATGGTTTAATTACCCATTGCATGTTTCAGTGGCCTCTGATAAACAGCAAGGGCTTAGGAACTGCTACTCAGAAAGGGTTGCTATTATTATGGAAGTGGAACACAGGAAATTCTTCCCCTAAATTACTGAAAACAAGATTGGTATTTAAAATAGAACTGATGCCTAGCAGCCTCAGGTGCAGACCCCGGCGGTAAAGGGATTGCTCAGATATTTTAGGCACAGATTCCAAGATATTTTAGGCACATATTCTACCCTAAAGGGTGGCATAGAAGAACGAATCTAAGAAATGATTGTGTAACTGTGCTGGCAAAAAAGAATTATGATATTTTTGAGTACTTTTCAAGGTGAGCGAAGGAGTTATTTTTAACGTCTTTCGAGGCAACTTTAAAAAATATACTC